TCAGACGGGATCTCGGCATCGGCGCACGCCCCATCACAGCCGACTGCTACCCGCTTGACGGTATTGTGGCCGTGGCCACAACAGTTGCAGAAGACGCTCTCTGGTTTGTGGACCAATTGTGACTCGAACGTTTACAACTGCGGACTCGTTGACACCGATTTCTGGCAAGGAACCGGAAGTACCTTCCATTCCTCCGCGTGCATTACTTCCTAGACTGGGGATCATGCTGATGGGACGATGTAGCTACGGTTGGTTTGAACGAATCCACTCAACGGTTCCATATTTGCGCCGAGGTTTCGTCCTTACATTTTGTGCGCTCTCTCTCAAGCTCTCGCTCCCTCTGGCATGGTGTATCAGTTTCTTACGTCCCTAGCATCCTCAAGGCAAGTCGTTTTTTCAAAATGTGGTGTATCCCTATCCCTAACCCGAACCCCGCCGTTCTGGTACCAGGTCAAGCCGTTCTTCTACAACCGTGTCATCGCTAGTGACCGACCAAGTCCCCACGATGCGACCCACTTCCACAAAGAAGAAAAAGATCAAGAAGGACGACAAGGCTACACAGAAACAGGCGAGGGGGGTTGAACAAAACTGAGACTGGTATGAGCGTAGATCGACCGGCACATGTCGAGACCGAAGGTGATTCTCTCGACACCCGGCTCTCTGCACCACTTGCTCTTACGCAGGTTCAATAGCTCTTTCCGTGCCTTTGTTCCTCCGCGTTGTTCCCAAATACCGGAAACGAATTATAGCTGGGGTGTAGAGATGAGACATGGTCATTTCTCTCTAGCCCGAGAGAGGCTTGTCGCTTTATACTACCGCACATTGTCGTCTCCACGCGTACACTATGAAGAGCAAGCTCTCGGCAGGCGAGGTAGGCTCGCTCATTCGAATGTAAACGGAGTATGCGGATGGAACGACGTCTTCGTGCAGTACACTCACACCGGGACTCACGGTGCAGTAGTGCCTCTCGGGTCGACTCGGAGTAGGGTTGGTCAGACGGGGTCTCGGTACCGCCGCACTCCCCATCACAGCCGACCCCCATCCGCCCGAATTTCTGGCCGCCGTCACCGCAACAGTTGCAGACGGCGTCCTCTGGGGTTTTGCAACAATGTACGAACTCGAACGGTGAGAACTGTGGACTCTTGAGAACAATGTCTTGCCAGGAAGGGGAAACACCTCCTTTTCCTCGATATGTATTGCCTTCTAGGCTTCGGCTCGAGCTGGTGGGTCGATGTCCCTAGCGTTGGTTTGGTTGGTTCCGCTCGACGGTTCCTATTGTCGCGCCGAGGTTGTCTCCTTACATTTTTCACTCTCTATTTCACTTGTCTCGCCTGTCCCCTCTTTCTTCGGGACGCGCACGCGTGGTTCCCCGCTCCGCACAAATTCTTGACAAATTCTGCGAAGAAGAAACGTAGAATATAACAGAGGCCGCCGCCTGCAACGGTCGCTGTCACGGTAACAAGGTATTCGCGCGGATAGCAGTCGGCCATGACGGCGCGCCAGCCCGCCTGACCAACCCTACTTCGAGTCGACCCAAGAGGTCGACACTCTCTACTTACCGTGAGTCGCAAGGGACGTGTACTGCCTGAAGGCGTCGTTTCATTTGCATACCGCCCTATGGGCGCAGCAGCGCGGTATGCAAATTGAACATCTTCAGATAGAACATCCACTCTGTGACTCACGGTGCAAACGTGCTTGCCTATCTCTCGGGTCGACTCGAAGTAGGGTTGGATCAGGTGTGATGTCACTACCGGCGCCCTCCATCTCGGCCGACTGCTCTCCGCGCAAACGTTTTGTCGCCGTGACCGCAACAGTTGCAGACGCCCTCATTTTTTCGGTTCGTGCCTTCTTCGCGGAAGTTGTCGTGACTCTGTGCGGAGAGGGGAACCACGCGCGCGCATACCGAAGGGAGAGGGGAGACAGGGGGGACAGGGGGGACANGGGACAGGGGGGACAGGGGGGAGAGAGCGTGCGAAATGTGAGGTGAAAACCTCGGCTCGAACATGGAAACCGTCGAGCGAAACCATTCAAACCCTAACCGTAGCCCCAACCCTAACCCTACTGGGATCGCCGCACCGGCGCACTCCCTATCTCATCCGACTGCTATCCTCGCAAATTTCTCGCTGTGACAGCAACCGTTGCAGACGACGCCCTCTGTTTTGTGCAACAATCTGTGGACTCGAACGTATGCGACCAACTGTCGACTGTTGAGAACAATTTCTGGCCAGCAACGGGAAGCACGTTCTATTCCTCGATTTGTACTACTTCCTATGCTGAGGCTCGAGCTGATGGGTCGATGTCGCTACCGTTGGTTTGATTGGTTCCGCTCGACGGTTTCCGTTTTCGCGCCGAGGTTGCCTCCTTGCATTGTGCACGCTCACTTTCGCCTGCTGTCTCCTCTCTCCCCTCTCCCCTCTCCCTTCGCGATGCGCGCGCGTGGTTTCCCGCTCCGCACAGAATCTCGACAACTTCCGCGAAGGAGACACGCAGAATATAACAGAGGCCGCCGTCTGCAAGCGCTCCCGGCGACAAGATCTTCGCATGGATAGCACCCGGCTATGACGGCGCGCCGGTGCCGAGATCCCGCCTTATCAACCCTACTTCGAGTCGCCTCAAGAGGTCGACACTAACTTCTTACCGTGAGTCGCGAGGGAGGTGTACTGTCTGAAGGCGTCGTTCAATTAGCACACCTCCCTATCACGCTCGTAGCGCGGTATGCAAAATGAACAACATCTTCAGACAGAACACCCAGCCCATGACTCACGGTACAAAAGTGCTTGCCTATCTCTTGGGTCGACTCGAAGTAGGGATGGGTCAGGTGAGATCTCAGCATCGGCGCACTCCCCGTCATAGCCAACTGCTACCTGGCCGTGCTGTTGGTATACCATCGCGTTATTGCTCATGGCCAAGCACGTCGACACGACGCCACCTTCACGTCAACCAAGAAGAACAAGAAGGTCGACAAGGCTGCACAAAAACAGGCGAGGGGGGATAAACAAAACTGAGACTGATGTGACTGTAGATCGACCGGCAAACGTCGAGATCGAAGATGATTCTCGGGGACCGGCTCTCTGTACCATTTGCACTTACGTAGGTACGATAGCTCTTCCCTTGCCAATGTTCCTACGCGGTTTCCCCAAAGGCCGGGAAACCGGGGTGTAGACGTGTCTCGATTCCACCGTTGTTTCCGCGCGCAAACCCAGAGAAAGCTCTCGGCAGCCAAGGTAGGCTCGCCCATTACAATGAAAACGGTCGTGAGTCGATGAGCGCAGCAGGTTCTGACTGAACACCAACCTATCGCGTACTACCCAGCCTCCTCCTTGCAGCGGAGATCGAGATTCAAACTTGACCGGTTCCGGCAATGAACACCGTACGGTATTCTGCACCGACTACTCCGCGGACCCCCGCGTCGACCCACGGCCAAGGCAGGCACCGACCCTTGCACGGACACCTGTGCCGACGCCTGGAAATGTTTCCATGCAGAAGATGCCGCTCCGGCTTCAGCACCGCCTCCACCTGGACAGACGTTGGTCCCGATGATTGCCGCGACGCCTTCGTGGACTCGCCCGCGTGCCCCTACGCCGGTGAAACCCGGTGGCGAATACACCCCTGCCTGCTAGTGGTACAAGGCATAGATTTCGGCAACTTTTTTTATTTCATTTCGCTAGCCTTGCTGTTGCCTTGATATTACCAGATTATTTTCGAGTTACAAGCTTGATTTGGATATTGTTTATGATTTGCTAGGCATCGCGGGAGCGTTAGGGTCTCTCTGTCTTTATCTGGATTGGGCGTGTCTCTATTCCAGAGTTCCTGTGTTTTCGTTAGTCGTTCGACCTCTGGGTTCAACCGTCTCTTGCTGTGCTGTTTGAATAATCTGCCATCGGGTTTCCTTCTGATTTCTAGAAATTTTGTACCCAAGACGGTCTGGCATTACACCCTCTCTCTCTCTCTCTCTCTCTCTCTCTCTCTC